TTTTTTTTTTTTTTTTTGAGACAGGGTCTGGCTGTGCAGTTCAGGCTATGTAGCCCAGTCTGGTCTGGAGCTCACAAGGATCCTCTTGCCTCAGCCTCCCCAGTGCTGTTATTACAGGCGTGCGCCATCACACCCAACATCATCATGGTTAAGTTACGTAATCAGAACAATCTGTTGGGGTAGATATTACTCCCCTCATATAGGTTAAGAATACGAGACCAAAACGACTCAAATGACATGGCCAGTACCATCCTGCCAAGTGGCAGTGTTGACTCTTGAATGCACATTATCTAAGTCTAGTGTTAATTTTGTGATAACCACGTGTCATGTATTGTTTAAATCCTCAGGACAGAATCTTGCAAGATATTTACTGTCTAGGTAGTAGTAAAGCATAAAATGTAACAACCCACATCTGTAAGGAAGAAGCAATTTAATAGATGGGGCAGCAGGAGAAACTACTGATAGAAATAGAAGGAGTAACAGAAATACAAAATAACATTTGCTACACAACACAGCAGTTAGACAACAGTTGTCAGCAGATACTAAGTGGGCACAAGTATGAGGAGAAAATAGTGTTTGTGTTGTCTTTACTATCCATCCAACAGATACTTACAAAGGGAGAAGTAGTAGCTGCCATAGAGAAAGCTGATAAGATACCATCTTAACCAACTGAACAAATTATCAAGAGCAGTAGACATACTGACTTCATTTACCTCCTGATATGATGCCCTGAAGCTACCTCTTCGCTTAAGTGGAGTTCTTGCTAGAAGTACTAACCTCAGGCTAGTACAAGAAAAGATTAGATAAATTCAAATTGAGCTAAGTTCAAAATAGATAAATTCAATTGTGCTGAACAAAAGAACTGGCCATTATTTTCTTTTAAGTGTCAGGGTTTTGAAATAAAAGACTGAGGAACTGTCCTGTTTTAGAAGAGATAGATCTATGGTCATGAGATTGTAACTCACCTTCATTTCCTGCATTCAACAATCTATTTGCATGGGGAAAGGATATATAGGAATTGTAAGCTTAAGATTAAGTATGTTTTAAAATTGTACATGAGAAAGGTTATTCTGTCACATCTTAATAGCCAAAAATAACAAATGTTTGTGTGTCTTGCCATAATCCTCTGGCAAATGAGATGGATATGCCAAAGATTCTGAAAGAAAATTTTTCCTTTTATATTGAGGTATAATTGAGAATAAAATACACAAGTGTATCATTTCAGGAATTTTCGTGTATACATACACCTGTTTAATCATCATACAGATCCAAATACAGTATTTGCAGCACCCCAACAAGCTTCTTTGTACATGAGTCCTAGTCAGTGACATCCTAATTTGCATGGATTCTTCAGTCCATTGTTTTTGAGCTTCATACAAATGAACTTTTATTGTGTTCTTTGGGCCCAACTTTTATTCCATCCTGTGATATAAGACTCATCATTAATTAGTTTTAATAATAAGTGAATTTTCAAAAACCTTCAGACAATTTAGTAAAAGTACATCATGAAGACTAAGTTTAATCTTGTTCATTTTTTGTTCTTTGTTCCATTCCCTGTTTTTCACTCCTCACTTCATAAAAAACAGTAGCTTAAATAAAATTTTGCCCTATTTGTTTTAGCATGTCAGGAAGGTAGGAGCCACTTGAAATAAAGAAACTAGATTCCTCCCTTGCTTTTGCCAGTAGATATTGTCACTTCAGGCAAGTGCTTTAACCCAAGAGGACTTTGTTCGTGTTTAAAATGTGATAGTTGGCACTTTACCATTATCAAAATTTTGTATCAAATCAATAGGATATATAGAAAAAGTTCATTAAATGTGAGTGGTTACTCTTTTTTGACATCAGAGTCCTGATGAAGCCAGTAGGAATGACTGTGTGTGCCTGTGTGTAGTAGTGCTTTTGTGAGTTAACTGAATGACTGTATCATTCATTCAGTCAACACACCAAAATACCTACATAGGTGTGTGACATTGTTTTTAGAATTTGGGCGTAAAATATTGAATGAGACCACACTTTTCTTCATTGAGGGTACATTCTGATGGAGTATTCACTGGGAAAGTATGAGTTCCTATTAGGTAACCCCACAGACTCCTAGGCCTTATTCTATTTTCATCCAAGTGAAAATAGTATCTAGGCCAGGTATGGTGGTACATGCCTGTAATCCCAGCGCTCAGGAGGCTGCGGCAGGAGGATTGCCACAAGCTCGAGGCCAGCCTGAGCTACATAGCGAGGCTCTCTCAAAAAAAATATCCATTCACAGTATGTAAAAATAATTCTTATTACAGTTACCTAAAATATTACAATTTTTTAAAAAAATAACTACCATTCTTCAATTGTTAGGAATCTATCTACAAAGAACAAACTATAATTGAAAATATAGTAGAGGCAGTACCAAGACAGCATAGAATTTGTCCCTATGTGAATGTACAGATAATACACATTATAGGTAGGGAAGTCAGGAATGAATGGGTAGAACAAGAGCTACTAGAGGACAACTTTATGAGGGCAGTGTGGGCTAAGTTAACTTCAGAAAGTTGTAAGTATCAAGTAACGAAGTTTGCCCACCTGGTCATTGGGAAGGACCTGAGAAACACTGACTTGTCCCAGATAAAATTATGGTTACTAATGTGAAGTATTTAATCTTTGGATATGATACTGGGAATAAGTGATATCAGAATCACATGAGAAGGGTTTTCAAAGTATACAAACAATAGATTCTTACATTCTTTCCATTCCTACTTACTATACTCCGTCAGATAATGACATATTAAAATCTATTGTAAAAGTAGCAGTTGACAAATAAATCTGGGAATTTCCAACACTTGACATATCCAAATAGAATTATTTTAGAATGGGGCTGGGGATTTAGCTCAGCGGCAAAAGCGCCTGCCTGGCAAGCGCAAGGTCGTGAGTTCGGTTCCTGGTACCGGAGAAAAACCAAAAAAAAAAAAAAAAAAAAAAAAAAAAAAAAAAAGAATTATTTTAGAATGATTTTTTAAAATGGTCATACATTTAAAAATCAAACAGTTGAGGTTACTAAAGAATTGTTTACTATAGTGTATATCCTATGGAATTGATATGATTCTGTGAATTATAATTATAATGATGATTGGTGATCAAATTATATGCAGCAGACAGCAAACTAAATCAAATGACCAGGAGCCTTTGAAGTTACAGCAGTTTTGCTGGTAATGAACAGGTTGTTCATAGTACTAAAGTGTTAAGTTATAGTTATGAAAGCATTCTGTGCCAGTACATGTTTTTAAGTTTTTATGCTTTTTTTACATTTAAGAATAGAAACTGGAAATGCTAATTAGGAATAAGTCAGGTCCAAGATACTACAGGTAAACATTCTGTTGTAGGATGGAAAATGTTCTCTAAGAAATTCTGCCCTGCTCTTTATTACTCCTTTCCCACCTGAGAACCACTGATCAGATTTATAGTACCTGTTTGTAAATAAATCAGATTTTTTTCTGTATTTGCATATATATAGACTTTAAATGCCAAAATTACTAATACGAATTTTGAAAATTTTAATCTTTGCTACTCTATTTCAAAGGTTAATATCTTTATAGACATTTTTCTTTTTTTAAGTTTTAGGTCCTTTTTATGTAAATTGCACAAAAATGAAAAGAAAGGTGGTGAATGCTGGCAAGCTGAGATTAAGTCCTAATGAAGAAGCCTTTGTTTTGAGAGAAGATTATGAAAGAAGACGAAAACTAAGGTTGCTACAGGTGTGACTTATTTGGAATAAAGTCTTCACTGTCTTTTCCACATCACTTAATATAAAAAATTATATTAGAAGGTTCCAAATGAAATGTTTCATTTAAAAACTTTATGTGACTGTATAAGAGCCCTGGTTTTTACATATTAACCAACTTTGAAACATTTGAAGAAAAGACTGAGATGGTAATTGGGCTGGAAGAATAGAAGATAGGCATTATTTGATGTTACGTCTTTAAATATTTTTAAATGGTTTGTAATACATGATGTTAGAACAAGAAGTTTATTGGGAGAAGACTTATTGGAAAGATTATTAGCTTCTGAGACAAATGTACTAGGAAGTTGTAGATTATTGTCTTCTAACAGTCTAGAATAAGAGAGTTAAGTCTTTTTGAAACTTTTTTTTTTTGCAGTACCGGGGATCGAACTCATGACCTTGCGCTTGTCAGGCAGGCACTTATGCCACTGAGCTATATCCCCAGCCCCTGAAACACGTTTTAAGTGCTATTCTGTCTAGAATTAAAGATAGTATACAACAGAAATGGGATTCACATCTGGCCCTATCTATATTCCCCTGGGCTATGCATTTTTTGAATGATGTTTACCATTTTAGCATTTTATATGTTACTAGGGTGATACAATGTCATTAGGAATTTGCAGGAGTATAAAAGTTAATCAGAAGTAGTCTTGCAGTTTGGGTGGTTTGGTTTTGTTTGCAGTTCTGAGGATCTAACCTAGGGCTTTGCATATACTAGAAAACAGTCTTCCACTGAGTTATATGCTCATCCTGAGATTCTTATCTTTTCTATATCACTTAGATAATTTTGCTTTACATAGTCCTTATCTAATATAAAGTAAATATTCAGAAGACTTGATAGAGGTAGAGAGAATGCATTTGAGTTTCTATTTCCAAGTAGCTTTTCAAAAAAGTTCAAATCCCCTTTCATATAATCTATTAAATATTCTTCAGGTTCGAGAACAAGAAAAGGATATTGCTTTACAGATAAGAGAAGACATAAAGCAGAGGAGAACTCAGCAGTTTGCTCGTTTGGCAGAGGAGCTAAGGGCAGAATGGGAAGAATCACAAACTCAGAAAATACAGAACTTGGAAAAACTGTATTTGGCAAGTTTAAAAAGTATGGGAGAGGGACATCGACAGGCCAAAGAAAATGTGAGTAACTTATTAGACTACCTGATTAGAGCAGTAAAATTTGTTAAAAATAAATTATATTTGTTGAATTCTTACATAATAAAAATATTTGTGTATAGAATTTGTTTTGGACTGCCTAAGTTGGCTTTTTTTTTTTTTAATCATAAATTGGGAATAATAGTATGTTCATTTCCTAGTAACTTATGTCAGGTAAAATTTCTCTCCCTGTGCTATTTAAATTTGCATTATCCTTTTCCAATTCTTGTTTACCTAGATAAATCAGGTAACCTTTTAAATCATTTTCTTAAGGATTTTGGACAAATTCAGTAGGGAGAATTCAAATTTCCCATTTCAGTATCATTCCTAATACCTCTCAATATGTGTGATTTTTTATATATATATATATGTATATATATATATTTTTTTCTTTGTTGACTTCCAGGAAGGCAAAGTAGAACTTAACTCAGGATTTAAAACTGCTCCCTGACTTACTTTGATTTGTTTATTGTGATTTATGGTTAGAAAATAGTAGTTGGAAGCCCAAGACTCAAACAGTACTGATTCCAAAGAAAATAAACCTTTGACAGCGGGTTAGGAAAGGAAATGTCTAAACCATGTGGCAGCCTGTTTCTTTGTCCTGGTTTTAGTTTATATTTTTAGTAATAGCTTTAGGTTCTGACATCAGAGTTTTGTTGCTTTATGTATGTCGCCATTAACTTTATGCTTCAGTGCAGTTTTACCCAAACTTCATTGACCTCAATCATGAGAAAACCTTCATGATTTTTGCTGTAGTTGAAAAAACACCTGAATCATTATGTATATGACATTTTAGTTAAGTGGATTCATTTCTTACTTAAGAACTATGTCCTAAGTATGATATTCTATTTATTTTTGTAATAATATTGAGTGATTTCATTAAGTCTTTATATTTTGACCCTGCTGATACATTGTTTAAGGTACCATTACCACACTTTGGGAAATACTGGTGTAGTATGTAGGAAGAGCTGACAGAATTGAAAAGTCATTCCTATTCTGACATCAAATAAGATGCATTTCTAGAAGTCTTGTTCAACTTGACATTTTGGGTAATATCCATTTTTAGGAACCTAATTTGGATGCTCTGGCACGGCAGACAGCAGAAAGGAAAAGAAAAGCAGAAATGAGGCATAAAGAAGCCTTGAAAGTACAGAAAAATCAAAAAGAAATATTAATGAGACAAAAAAACTGGTAATGTAATAATTTTTACTACATCCCCAACTGAAACTAACATGGCTGGAAGTAAAGGATGCATAGCATACTGTATAAGCAGACATTATATAGAAGTCATATGGTATATCCACTGCATTTTATTAAACTGGGTTTAAAAATAATACAGGGGAGAGTGTATTGCTTAAATGAAATAATAACAAGTGAGCTTTCTCCTCTAATTGGAGTCTGAATATTCTGAGGTTAGCAGAAATTACTAAGTTTCTAGAGCAATGTATAGACAGTTCACAATGCATGTCAAGCAAAACCTCTTTCTCTCATGCAAGAAAAGAATTTTTTTTAAATTTTAAAGAGAATAAAAAATAATTTAAAAAACAATGAACAAAACCATTAGAAATAATACAGAATTTCAAAAAAACAAGATAGGAATTCAACAATGGTTCTAGTATTGCATATTGTTGTCTTCAAAGTAGTTGTTCAGATCACCAGATATAAGCATGTAAAATTGGTCAAAAAAAAAAAAATTAAGCATTGACTATTTCTTTCAAGAAATCCATAAAAATTAGTAGTACAATTATCTTAGCTGTCATATATATATTTTTTTTTCCCTTCTTTTTTTCTCCTTTCCCTCATCCCAGTTGTTCTTTCTTTTTAAGCAGTTTCTTTCCCTTTCACAATATCTGTTGTACCTTTTGGATTTTATTTACCCTTTCAGCCTCTTTCATGAGGAAGACAGGATGATGTTTACACGTGGGGGTCTGATTTATTTCACTTATGAGTATGGTCTCTAGTTGCATCCATTTACCTTTAAAAGGCTCAAATTTATCTTTATAGCTAAGTAATACTCCACTGTATAAAAGAAAAGAATATTAATGTAATTCAAAACATTTAAACGAGGTAGACTCTGTGGAAGTCATTAGTATTTTTTGCATGGTATAAAAATTCAGGTGTCTCTTACTGGTCAGCAGTGGTCATTTTGTACAGTGGCCCATCTCTTTCTTTTTGACACTGTATTACTCTGAAGAGTATTACATGTTTGCTAGATTGGTCCCCACTGTGGAGCTTTATGTTTTTAGATGTGTCTCTTTGAATTGGTAAACATCATCTTACGTCATGTCTACTGTATATAGATTCTTTTCCTTTTTTTTTTTTTTTGGTACTACAATTGAACCCAGGGTGTTCACACTGAGGCACCCCTGCCAGCCCCTACCCCTATCCTTTTTAACTTTCTATTTTTTATTTTGAGGCAGTGTCTCAGTAAGTTGCCCAGGCTGGGCTCAAACTTGTGATTCTCTTGCTTCAGCCTGCGACAGTGCTGACATTACAGATATGCATCACCATGCTTACCTTAAACTCTTTATTAAATTACATAGTATGTTTGTGGTGTCAGACTGGAAGACTTCTAGAAAGTCTATGGACTTCATGTTGGAGCACTAAGAGACTACCTGAGAGATTTAACTAATGATATTTCTTGTTTTTAAGGCATATAAAAGCTCGGAAGGAAGCACTGCTTGTAGAAAAAGAGAGGTCTGCCAAAATTACAAGTCTGCCTCCCCCTGCTCCAGCTCCTTTTGAGGTAAATTACTTTGAACTTTGAGAGAAACTGGGTTATGAGGATTCTTTATTACTAGTTCTTTATATATTCTAGATAGAAGTCTTTTGTCTGACAGACAGTGGCTAAAATTTCTTCCCAATTTGTGGGTTTTTTTTTTTTTAACTCTGTTGGTGATTTCTTTAGATGTGCAAAATCTTTTCAATAAGATGAGATCCCAGTTGTTGACCCTTTGAAGTATTTCCTGTGCAGTTTGGTTTTTGTTCATGAACTCTCTGCCTACCCCTACATCTTCACGATTTTTGCCTACTTTCCCTTCCAGTAGATTTAGTGTTTCTGTTTTAGATCTTTGATCCATTTTGACTTGAATTTGGTGCATGGTGATAGACATGGGTCTAGTTTCACTCTTTGGTATGTAACAGGCCAGTTTTTCCAGCACCGTTTATTAAAGAGGCTTGCTTTCTTCCAGTGTACTTGTTTGGCCCCTTTGTCAAAGATAAAGTAGCTGAGTGTGTTTGTGGTTGTGGCTGCATCTTCCAGTCTGTTCCATTGATTGTTGGGTCTGTTTTTTTGCCAATACCAGGTTGATTTTATCACAATAGATTTGTAGTATAATTTCAAGTCAGGGATTGTGATGCCTCCTGCCTTTCCTTTGTTGTCCAGAATTGCTTTTGCTATTCTGGGTCTCTTCTGGTTCCAGATGAATTTTAGGAATGTTTTCTCTAGATCTGTGAGGTAAACTAGTGATGTTTAGATTGGGATTGCATTGAATCATGGCAGACTTCTCAACACAGACCCTCAAGTCAAGAAGAGCTTGGAGTGAAGTATTTCAAGTCCTGAAAGAAAACAACTTCCAGCCCAGATTGATGGATCCTACAAAACTGTCTTTCACAATTTATGGAGAAATAAGATACTTCCATGACAAAGAACAACTGAAGAGATTTATGAACACCAAACCAATGCTACAAGGAGTACTAAAAGATACAGTAATCAGAGATAAAAATGACCACAATTTCAAGACCAACAAGAGAAAGAAACTAGCAGGTAGGGCAAGCAATTAAACAGAGGGGAAAAGCAGGAAACCAACAGCAGGAAAATTCCATGACCAAGATAAGCCAATACATATCACTTATAACCATCAATGTAAATGGCCTCAACTCATCAATCAAAAGAAACAGGCTGGCAGAGTGGATTAAGAAACAAGATCCAACAATATATGTTATGGTTTGTGTCTGGGTGTCCCCGAAAGCCTCATGTAGTCATGGGGCAGGCTTTTAGAGTTTCATTGATTATGGGTGTGAGAGCTACACCCTCCCTGGGGTGGATAGTTTGCATATGTAAGGGAGAGGAAGAGGCTGCTTGGGGCCATTCCTCCCTTTTGGTGCTTGTTGTTTTTGCTGTGTTCTGCTGCCATGAGCTATAGCCTTCTGCCATGTGCCACTCTGCCTTGTAACCTGCCAAGTATGGACTAAAACCTCCACAAACTGTAAGCGAAATAAACCTTTCCTTCCTTAATTTTGGGCATCAGGTATTTTGTCCCAGCAACGAGAGAAAAGTAACCAAGACAGTACTATATATAAGAAACACATTTAACACAAAAAGAAATTCACAGACTGAAAATCAAAGGATGGAAAACAATGTTCCACACAACAGGAACCCAGAAAAAAGCAGGAGTAGCTATTCTTTTTGCAGACAATGTCAACTTCAAACAAAGGATGATTAAAAGGGATAAAGAAGGTCACTACAAACTTGTTAGGGGGAAACTTCAAGGGAAAGAGATAATAATCATAAATATATATGCACCAAATACAGCAGCACCTAACTATATAAGACAATTACTAATAGACATTAAAAATCAAATAAGCAAGAATACAGTTTTAATGGGAGACCTCAATACCCCATTGTCACAAAGAGATAGATCAACTAGACAAAAAAATCAGCAAAGAATTAGCTGAACCAAACATATGAACAACTGGCCTTAGTAGATGTTTACAGAGTGTTCCATCCCACAGTATCAGAGTACACATTCTCAGCAGCACATAGGACGTTCTCTAAAATAGACCACATACTAGCCTATATGGTCAGAGAATATAGTCAGATAATACGGCCTGATAATATGGTCAGATATTATCTGACCATAGTGCAGTGAAATTGGAAATTAATGACAAAATGAACCACAAAAATTCCATGAACACTTGGAAATAACAGCCTACTGAATAACCAATGGGTCACTGATGAAATTAAAGAAGAAATTAATATCTACAAACAAATGAAAATGTAAATACAACTTACTGGAATCTGTGTGATACACTGAAAGCAGTCCTCAGAGAGAAGTTTATAGCAGTGAACTCACATATCAGGAAAACAGAATGAGAACAAATAAATAGCCTAATGCTGCACCTCAAACTTTTAGAAAAAGAACAAGAAGTCAAGCCCAAAGAAGGGAGGAATTTATTATAAAATTTCAGCAGAGGCCCTAATAATAATTGTTTGCCTGAACTTAATTTTTAGTTATATAAGTAATGCATGATTAAATCTAGACTATTTTTAAATAATCCTAGATATTTCATATATCAATGAGTCATTTAATATATTTTTCTGATATGTAAGGATTAAAAATAGTAATTGTTGGCCATGGTTGTGCATATCTGTAATCCTAGTGCTTTGGGTGGCTGAGGCAGGAGATTTACAAGTTCCAGCCCAGCCTGTGCAATTTAGCAGGAGCCTTTCTTTTTATAATAATTTATTTACTTGTTTTGTTTTTCGGAGGAAGAGAGCCTGGCTTTAAAAAATAAAAAAGTCTGGTGATGCTGGTAAGTGCAAAGGTCCTAGATTCAGTTCCCAGAACTGAAAATAATGACAGTAATACTGATAATTTCCCCATTATTTGAGGCCAGGTATGTGTTCAGTTTCCCCATGGCCTCAAAACATTCTTTTGTTATTTGAAAAACTATAATGGTTTTGAGTTTTAAAAGCAGTTAATAATTCTGTCTTTTTATTTTCTAATATTCTTCATTTGGGAAAAAACTCCATTAATTATCCTATAGGCATTTCTACATTCTGAATTTGGCTCTCTGTAAATATTCACCATTTCATAAGAAATTAAAGCTCAGATAAATGTAAGACCCTTACTCAATGTGAAGGTAATGAGAGAGGTTGGTTTCTGGGAGTAAAATGTGTACATTTGTGATTAGATCTCATTTTTAAGAAAATGTTTATTATGTAGAATGGAATTTGATTTTAATTTTTAAAAGTATTGCTTCAGTTGTAATTAGCTTGTGATTTTCAAAATGGCTTTTAGATGATTATCAAAATTAGTTATTTTAAACTTTTAGAAATAAAAACACCACAAATATAGGATGTCTCAGTTACATATGAAAGGATATTTTATGAATATATGATCAGCATAAGTACCAGATATTCTTTTATGTCTTCCATTTTGTCAGCCTTTCTGCTTTTATGTTGTGCCATCTGCCTTGTAATATCTGATAAAACAAGATTCAGATGAAAGAGTCATAGTCCAGCTACTCCCTCAGTACTGTCTGAAATGATAAAAGGCAGTATTTTATCCATGATGCTTTTTGATTCCTTTGTCATAAATGCTAATGTTCATAACAAGCCAAGATCAAAAATTTATAAAAATCAAACAAAATATTGTCTGTGCAAGTGCTTATGTAGACATGAGTTATATGTAAATATGCAGTTTCCCTTTTTCTTCCAACTTCTTACAAAAAAGTTAAGCGGTAGGCATGGTACATGCCTCTAATTCCTGAATTCAGTCTGAGGTGGGAAGATTGGGAGTTTGAGGTCAGTCTGGGATACATAGAAAGACCCTGTCTCAAAAAAGTCAAACAAAAAACTGGATGTGGTGGCTCATACCTTATTCCAAATGGCAGGCAATCACACTGTCTAGTCCAATGTGGGGACTTAGTGTCTTGGTGATACCATGTCTCAGAACAAAAAATAAAAAGGGCTGTGGATATACCTCATTGTAAAAGCCCTCAGTTCAACACGAGGAATAAGAAAAAAAATGGATATAATAGTGTTTTTCCTATAAATACAATGAAGTAATTAAAATTTGATTAGACATGTCCTTTAAGCATCTCCTTTATTGAGCAGATTTAAAAGTAAAATGTTTCAGAGCTGGGGATATAGCTCAGTGGTAAGAGCGTTTGTCTGCCTTGTGTGTGTGAAGCCCTGTGTTCAATCCCCAGTACTAGCAAATAAAACCAAGGACAAAAGTGATGTCTTTTTAAATAATTTAAAAGTTGAAGTAAACTTCTTAACTGAAGTAAGAGAGATTGATTACATTAAAAGTACTGGAAGATATTTTGAAGTACTGCTGGATTTTGCATTTTTACCAAAATATAAATAGCAACTCTGGAGAGAAGAGTTTATTTCATTGTATGCAGAATTTTAGTTTATCTCAAGTGAGGTTACTGATTCTCTTAGTCCATTTTCTGTTGCTAATAATACCCACAGACTGGGTAAACTATAAAGAAAAGAGGTATATTTTGGTTTACATTTCTGTTCCAAAGCTGAGGGGCTGCATTTGGTGATAGCCTTGCTGCTGGAGTCCCAAGCTGATAATGGCCATCAAATGACCAGAAACAGTTTGTGAGAGACTGAGCCATGCTGGCTTTTATTGTACTTACTCTGGAAATAACTCATTGAGACAGTAATCTATCATCACTGGAAAGGATGAATTCATTCATGAGTTGATGTCCCTAATCACCTCCCAAAGGTCCCACTTGGACCCACATTTTAATATCTCATAACAGAGATTAAATTTTGACATAACTTTTGGAGAGGACCATAGCAGTGATTAAAATGCAAAAAATATTTTTTCTTGGGATCCAGCTTTAGGTGAAAATTAATGCCTTTAACCTAAACTATATATTTTTTAAAATTCTATTTTCCAGAATATTGAAGTAAAAAGAGTTTCTTCAGTGAAAACCAGTAGTTCTACCTATCATCATATTTCCGCTTTTGTGAGTAGACAGATGGAAACAAAGCAGGTGACTGACTCATTGTTCATACTCTCACCTGATTATTTCTGTGTTCACTGAACTGCGTTGTATTTTGGTTCCGTGTTTGGTGGTGTCAGATTTCAAAATGTGAACAGTCACACTAAACATCCTAGATAGTAGTGACCAAAGCCTCTTAAATATGTTTTGCTTTTTTGTGTCAATTATATAATATTCTTATATGAATGGAAGTAGATGGGTATTTAAATAGCTACCTTTTAAAATAATACATTTTACCTGGGTGTGCACCCAGTTCTGTAATCCCAGAACTCAGGAGACTGAGGCAGGTTCCCAAACACTGTAAGTTCAAACCTTGGCTGCACAGTGAGTTCAAGACCAGCCTGAATTATATAGGGGTTATAGTGGAGTTATAGCTCAGCAGCGTAAGCGCCTGCTTGGCAAGCAGGAGGCCATGATGAGTTCGATTCCTGGTACCAAAAGAAAAAATCCAGATATCAAATTACATAAGAACACTTTGTCTCGAAAAAAAAGTGTATTTTAAAACTTTACCATAAAGTAATATGTGCTCTTAGAAAATTGTAGAACTATGCACATAAGCATAAACTAGGAAAAACACCAATGATTCTATCATCAAAGGGTTAGTATGTTAAGTTATGGTTAATAACTTAATGAATATATTACCATCTTTATATATAAACTTCTACACATACTTTTCAAAATGTTTTTTAAAAGCCACTTAATGCTTCCTCAGAAAATTATTTAATCTTTTTCATATTTAGGTTGTTTTTTGCTTCTCTAAATAATATAAACATAGTAATCTTATACATTTATCTTCACATGCCTAGTCATATGTTAAGAATTCTGAGAAATTTTTGGTTACAAATGTAACATTTGATACACAACATTCAATTGGCTTTAAAAAGTATAAACAACATGAGAATAGCTGTCCTGCCATACCTTTGTCTTTTACAGTTTTTAAATTATTGGTAGTCTTGAGTGACAAATGATATACCTCTATGAAATTTGCTATTTCTTTGTAACAGTAGCTTTTGCTGTTCTTCGTGTTATATATTTGGCTAGTAGGAAAATAAATTATCAGTGTAGTATTTGTGTGCAGCATAGAATGCAACAGATACAACATTGTGCTTGAGTACATAATAGCAGATGTTAAAGTCAATATTCAGTTAGTATAAAAGATGAGTGTCATCACAGAATGAGCATTTAAGTTTCAAGACTAAACCTGAGATTTATTTAAAATTGTACAATATTATTACTTTAATATTAAGATACAGGAATTATAACTTCAAACTGTTGCAAACTTGTTCTTTTGGTTAATATACTGCATTTTTGCAATATTAAATACATGGGGTTTTTTTTGAAATATTAAATATGTTACCTTTCAACTAAGATTGATGAAAAAAGGTCTTTTTTAACCTTTCTCTATAAGTATAGAGCAGTGATGGCAAATCTTTTAGAGCTTTCAATTATAACAGCCAGCTGCAGCACATGTGCCATCGGTTCGCCACCACTGGTATAGGGTATAGGCTGGTCTTAAATTGGTGATCCGTTTGCTGAGATTACGGGCTTGTACCTGCTGGCAACTAGAGCTTTCTGTACTGATTTAAAGAAGATCCTTTCTGTATATTTTCAGGAGCAGATTCATGATTTTACAGTTTTTATTCTAATACTTTATTTTTTGCTTTACTCCATCACTTAAGTAAAAATCTGTCCATAAATCTTGGATTTATAAGGTGACAGAAAGCAATGTGCTTGGCTTTGAAGATAAAATTCTTTCCCAGCTGGGTATGGTGACACATGCCATAATCCTGGCAGTTTGAGAGGCTGAAGTAAGAGGATTGCAGAGTTGAGGCCATCTTGAACAATTTATCAAGAACCTATTTCAAAATAACAAAATTTGAAAGGGCTGGGTGTAGTTCAGTTGTAGAATGCCCTTAGGTTCAACCCTTGGTACTGGAAAACAAAACAACCTCTGAATTTTATCTGTGTCTCATCTTATATCCCATGCACAGTAATTTAACATCTTCTGTGGAGTAGAATGATATGCAATTGTATACAACAACTGTCTCTTAAAAGTACTTGCATTCTTGGTATATACATTTGGGTATTTTTCTTTGACAGCTTTTTGCAAATAACTACTTTTGTTTGTTTAGCCTTTTTAACATGTAAGAGTTGGTACTGCAAATTGTTTTTACCATTCTGAAATAATAGTTCCCAAATATTTTGTATGTCATTAAGTTTGTCTTTTGCAGAAAAAAAACAGCCTGCTATAGTCCTACTTTGGTCAGTAATTTTTTGCATTATGTTTTGCTGCACTGACTTTCAGTATATACTGCTAAGCAAAGCATCATACTCTGAAAGTCCACTATTACTGGTGACCTTTATGTCTTACAGTTGTGTAGTGGTTTTTAAAAATGGATACTTGAGTCTAGAAATACCTGATCTACTACACTATTTACTGCAAAACCCAGAAATGTCTACAGAAAAATGAAATGGAGTTAAAGTCATCATCAGTCTACTACACTATCACATTTAAAAAGACTTCTGTCCAAGTAACTGAACAAAATGCAGACATATATTTAATAATATCACAATATAGTATACTGAAGATTATAACTCATGAAAAAGTTTTTCAGAAGCATATTTTCTAAAGCAGTTTTTTCAGACTAGGATTTATAGTTTTTGCAAATTTTACATCTTTCATCTCTAACTACTAAAAATGGATCTTAACAGTTATTTCAATCTAGTTTTTGTCTTTTGATTAATTTATTTGCAGTACTGGGAATTGAACTCAGGACCTTCACACTGAGCTGTGTCCCCAGCTCTTTTTTTAGGAAAAGTGTTTCTTTTGAAAGAATAAGTTGCACAGGCTGGGCTGTAACTTGCGATCCTCCTGCTTTGGCCTCCTGGAATAGTGGGATTACAGGTGTGTGCCGTCACACCTGGCAAGTTTAAATTTTTAATTGTATTCATACAAATTCTATAGGTGATTGTCTTCTTAAAGTGTGCTTGTGAAATCTTTTTAAAAATTTGGTGACTAGGGTCTGGGGATTTAGCTCATCGGCACAGTGCCTGCCTGGCAAGCGCAGGGTCATTTCCCGTACCAGAAACCGCCCCCGCCCAAAACAAAAACTTGGGTGACTAAGGATAAAATTTGTTTGGGATTGTCAATACTTTTCCTTTTTCTTTTTTCTCTTTTACGATGCTTGGGACCAAACCCAGGATCCCATGGGTGCTAGCTAAGCACTGTACCACTAAACCCCTAGACCCCCAAATTATTTTCTAACTCTTTAGTTTCTTCAGATATTTGATATGCTTTATCTCTGGATTGAACCTATTTATCATTCATGTTGTGTGCTATTTTGAAATTTTTCCTTCCCTTCAAATTTTGGTTTATTACTGGCACAGTGCTGCATGCCTAAAGGCAGGAGAATAGAGTTTGAGGTCTTCCTGGACTGCATAATAAAACCATATCTTTGGAAAAAATTTTTGTTGTGCACCAAAATTGATATTCTGAGCTGGGTGTGGTCGCAGACACCGTAATCCCTGCAGTCACAGGGCTGAGACAGGAGGATCACTGCAGTTTAAGGCCAGCCTGGGCTATATAGTAAGTTCAAGGCCAGCCTACACTATAAAGTGAGATTCTGTCTTAAAAAACAAAAAAAATTGGTATTCTGCTTTCAGTTTAACCTGAAGAGTTATGAAGAATTCCTTAGACATTTCTTGAAAACTTCATGGCCTAAATGGAAGAAATGTTTTTAAAGGTTATTTTGTTTAATGTTATGTATGTTAATGTACTGAATAATTCTGTGACTATAATTGTTATTTAATCTAGCCTTTTTTTGTTTTGTCTGATTTTATTTAGATTTGCATACATATTTATTGGCTTAAAAGAAATGTATTTTTAATGAACTTGTTTGGCCAGTATATTTGTTATTAATAATGATCAATCTCTTTACCTATTTATTTCATTACTTGGACTTTTAATCTTACATATAAAGCCAGTAGTTTTCATTGGCTCTATGGTTTCAACTGAATGTTAGAATTTCAACATATAAAACATAAAATGACTTTTCACTACTGGTTATCTTTAAGAGAATTATCTATAATTGAAAGTGACTGTTTAGATAATAAGTAAATCCAGGTTGTGTTTCTATTGTTACCTCAGTGAGATGTAATAGCATAATCATGAGTTATGCATAAAATCCAGAAAGCCAGAATTTATAATAAACTACATATTTTAGCCTTAACTTAGGCTAAAACCAAGCAACAGATGTTGGCTAAAAACCAAAGACAAAATTTTATGCTCCTATAGATTACTTATATGACCTTAGGTGCTTGTGTTTTCTTTACTGTCTTTGAGGGTATTTACCAGTATGTCTGCATGAGTAAAACCTGATCTAGTTTGAGATAAGCAACTTAGAAAACTTTGCTAATAATTTGATGCTTTTTATAGAGATATGCTGTTGATAACGTGGGCATTTAAAAAATTTAACTCCTTTCCATATATTATGTCTATAGAGGTGGAAAACATGGTTTTAAAGTTTTGTTTTTTTTTTTTTTTTAGTTTTTTTTCCGGTACCGGAAATTGAACTCACGACCTTGCGCTTGCCAGGCAGGCGCTGTGCCGCTGAGCTAAATCCCCAGCCCAAGTTGTTTTGTTTCTTAGTTTTTTTCACACTTTTTTGAAAAATTATTCTAAAATGTTATTGATTGACTGCTAGCCAGATGCTCATTTGGCTGCCGAAGATGAAGCTAAACGATTGGAGGAACTGCAAAAACAGGCAGCACAAGAGAGACTGGAACAGCTCGAAAAGGCACATGCACGGGGTTTCCAAGCCATGAAAAAGATCCATTTGGCCCAAGTAAGAATTAAATTCTCCCTGTACCTACTACTGATAGGCATACTGATAGCATTGCAGAACTGATTAGTGAATGGGCACAAAGTAGAGGGTGTGAAAAATATTATATATATTCTCTGTCCCTATGATTTCAAGTATGCCTCTTCCATTGCCTCTCTTTTCAGGTTGGATTATACTGTTCTCACAGTGTATCACTATTTACTAATGAATATGTTCAAAAGCTTAGTCCAAAAAATTGTATGAGATTAATCACTTCTCATTTAATTGCTGCATTTGGATTGCATTTGTGCTCTCTAGATATAAAGATTCACTTTCTGTGTGTTTGTGGAGCAAAGCACTGACTGGCTTTGCAGTGTATTGATGCAAAGGTAAAGTCATGATCTTTGCTGTCAAGTAGCTTTGAAAAAATGATTGTTGTGGATCTGCAAAATAATGTAGTTTAGCCTCACTTTTATCACATTTTGTATAATTATTGCTTTTTCTTAAGCAGCGTATACAAATGATTCATCTTGTTAAAAGTCTCATTTTCATTTTCTGAATTTGACTAATACATTTGGGTGTTTTAAAAACTTTTAGGAATGAGCTTTTAAGTATTTCTGTGGAAATTAAATGCTTATAAAATTTCATTTGTATACCTTGAATAAAGTTATGACCTTAATTTTTAACTTCTGTAAACTAGAAGTAAATTATAATTAAAATAACTGAATTTCTGAATTTAGTAGAAATTCTCACCTAAGGTTTGCATCTGTAGAAAAAATACATGTGAAAAGCAATCATAAATGGAACACATTGTTCCATAAAAGCAGTAGTGTTGAGTGGATATGAAAGTGTGGACTCCAGAGTCAATTTACCTGGATTTACCTTGGTTTGATTTTAGGCAAGTTACTTAAACTGCCTGAATTCTGTTTCATCATGTTTTGTCAACGTTAATGAGTTTAGGAGGGGCTGGGGTTTTAGCTCAGCAGCACAGCACCTGCCTGGCAAGCGCAAGGTCATGAGTTCGATTTCCGGTACTGGAGAAAAACAAAAAAAAAAGAGTTTAGGAAATCCCTTAGAAATGTGTGTGGAATTTCATAAATTCATAGTAAATGTTAGTAGTATGGTCATTGTTATTATAAGTAATACAAGTAGAGTAACATGCCCAGACATTCAGTGAGCTAGAATAGTACACTTAATCATGTAACAATGCAGCTAATTTGCTAAGATGAATCTTAATATAAATAAAATGAATTTGTTCATTTAATTGTTTTAGCGCACAACCAAAGAAATTCATCTCCAAATGGCAGAACATTTAAAACTTCACAAAAGAATAACTAATACATTCATTACTTGACAAAGCCTCTTATGCAAGCTCTCTCTGACTTACTATAAACTGAATGTTTCTTATATAAGAATCAAAAACCACCTAATATCTCAGCTAGTAGATCTCCTTTCTCCTGTCTGAACCTTCATGTTGCAGACTCTGTTAACGTCTGAGACTGTGTTTCCTACCTGGGTCTGTTGTAACTAGTATTTAGCCTCAGTCTGCCTCTCCAACTTTGTCTTCTTTTCTTTACTCTCCCTTGCTCTCTGTGCCTTGCTGTTCTTGAATTCCCCATGCTTTCATCACCATGTTTTGTGCACCAGTTATTTTTTTCTTGTGCTGTTCCTTCACTGGTTAAATGTTCGTTCCAAGGACTGAAGGGTCTCTTTTTCTCTTTACTCTCTACCACCAAAATTCAGTTATGTAACCTCACTAAAATACTGCTTATATTTTCTATTATCCATTTCTAGGCTTAAAGGGATGCAAGCAGATCCCACCCTCCAACCCCCTCCTTTTTTCTGTAGTGCTGGGGATTAAACATGGGTGTTCCTACATGCCCGGCAAGCACTGCACCAGCACTGTAGATCCACTTTAATCCTGGGAATCATAAGAGTATGGAGTAGGCAGGTGTGGTGGTGCACTCTTATAATCCCAGCACTCAGGAGGCTGAGTCAGAAGATTTAAAGACAGCCTGAGCTCCATAGTGAGTTCAAGGCCAGCCTGAACTATGTAGCAAGACCCTGTCTCAAAAAACCCAAAAAAGTATGGAGTAACAAGAAATATCATCGGTTGAATCATAGTTTGTTGATCTCACTGCTAGGTTAGGGGTGAGATTTTTTTTTCTGCCCCTAGCACTTGTGGTAACTGGCATTCAGCAAATATTTGTTGAATGGACAAATTAATTAATGTAATTTGTCTTATGGCAGAACAAGTGATAGAGGAGGGGAGGGAATGCTAGGCACTGTTGCTCGTGGTTTCCCCACATTAATGTTACTATCAGGTTTGACTCAGCTCTCATTAATCTTTTTATTCTTGAAGAATCAAGAGAAACTAATGAAAGAACTCAAACAGCTACAACAAGAAGACCTGGCTCGTAGGAAACTGACTGTAGCACAGATGCCACCACAGCTAGTTGAACTTCCATACAAACGCAGTGAAATGAAAGAAGACTGGCAGAGAGAACTGGAATTTGCATTTGAAGATATGTACAATGCAGACAGGAGTAAGATATTTTCAGTAGATTTTCAGCAGCGCTTTTGGTGGGAAAATACATTTGTAATGATAAAGCAGTTTTTATTTTGAAATGAGTTTTCAGTTTGGAAGAGGCCCTCATAATTTAGATTTAGAAACTATGATGGCCTTTAAAATTTTTATGATATATATTCTTTTTAATCACTGGAATGGATACATCTCTATATTTCTTTATTAAGAGGTGAAAGGAAACCTGGTCTTGCATCTTGAACCAGAACCTTTGCCCACTGTGACTGATCAGATGCAAGATGAAGAATTGGACCTTTCAGTGGACCAAGAAAATATAGGTGAAGCTGAGAACCTTCCACTGACAGAAGCTGAAATACGTTCTAGTGAAACAGACGGTAAACGCCCCTTCTAAACTGAATATTACAATATTACACAGACAAATGTAGTATTCATTAGCCATCAGTTAGGAAGATTAGGTCTACTTTAAGTGCAAACAGTGACTGATACTAATTGGAGTGGTGGCAGGAGGAAACAATGTTTTCATATTTCCATCTTTATGGATTCATTTCATATACATAAGAGGGAAGTTATATAGTGTGGAGATTTTTAGTTTAAGTTTGATGTTCAATTCTGAAGTCATGTGAAGGGTCAGCATTTGTTTTTAGACTTCATTACCAGAAATCCAATTTTGTCCCCTTACTAGTAGATATTTCATGTATTGGGATGAATAGTACAAACTGATGGCTTACCTTCATCTCTTATCTCCAGCATCCAGAACTTTTTCACTTGACTATCCCACAGACACTTAAAACTCAGTATCCAACAATAAAATTTTCATCATCTTTCGTGAAACCTACTTTTCCTTCTTTATCTTGGTGATGGTACCATATTCAATTTACCTTCAACATTTCTCTCTTTTATTTCCACTTCTCCTTTATGAACACTTCCCCTTCATTGAATTGACCTCTTCATTCTCCTGTCTCTATGAATTCTGCCTTTTTAAAAAACCACTCAGGCTGTCTTTATAATCTGCATCCTTTACTGTAGAAGTAAGCAGCTCTTTAGGGTCCAGCTTTATGTAGGTCTCCTGTTTGATTCCTTTGTGGAGGCTCAAGGCTTTATCTGTTCCTTCTATGCCCACACTGCTGTTTAAACAAGTATAAGGTACTGTATTTTGGCTTTCACATAAATTTCATGAAAAATGCTTTCGGTGCTACTTGCCTTTCATCCAAGGTTCCCACTTAAACTTTGTTTTTAGCTCCTCCAGAATGTTTTTTCTTGCCATATCAGCAGTGTCTTTAAAAAAATGTTTTTACTATCTCATCCAGCTATTTTAGTTGTTTTGGTGAGGGAGAAAGAGTATCATTCAGATATCTAATTTGTCAGAATAAGTCTGGCCTTGCCCAAAGGGACAGTTAGTTTTCAGCCCCAGCTGATCCTTTTTAGACTTGCTGAGTTGTTATTGCCAAGTCTTTTGATTTTTTTTTTTTTCATAAAAACCTAGGATGCTGGGCATTATGGCACATTTCTGTAGCCCTAAGAACTCCAAAGGCTTAGGCAGGAAGATCTCTTGTCTCAGGAAGTCAGGGCAAACCTGAACAGCAGTGAGACCCCATCTCTTTAAAAAAAGAAGGGGGAAAAAAAAGACAAAAAGCTAGGAATTCTATTGTTTCTTAAGTTCTTATTTTAAGATATTGTTACTTAATATTTCTTAAAAGTGAGTGGATTATCCATGTGTGGTTGTACATATCTGTAATCCCAGAGCTCTGGGAGGCTAAGGCAGGGGGATGGCAAATTTGAGTCTAGTCTGGACAACTTAGAATGACCTCATCTCAAAACAAAATGTATTTTAAAAAGGGCTGGGGTTGTAGCTCAGTGCATACCCGAGGAGACACAGACACACACACACACACACACACACACACACACACACACACACACACGATTACCTAAGTATATGATTGTATGTTTATATAAAGTTAAAAATAAATCAAGTAGATAAAATGAGCCTATGGCCTTAAAGATAAAATAGTGGTTATCTTTAAAGTATATTGACTGGGAAGAGGCATGAAAAAGCCTTCAAGGTGCTGAAGTGTTCTGTGTAGTGATCTAGATGATGTTGAGTAGACACACCTGTAAAATTCATTGAGCTGTAGCTTTCAATTTTGTGTACTTTATCATTTGTAAGTTATAAGTCAACTAGATATTTGTAAAAATGTGGGTCACAAAGATGTACATTTTGCCAGTTTTCAATATCTACTCCTATAGATGTTCTTAGGTTTTATTTCTTGGTTAAGCCAAAGAACTGCATGTTTGCTGTTTTGTTTCCTTAGAGAATTAGTAGTTCTGACTTTTAGCATTTATCATTAGCTCATATGGAAGAATATTTTAATCAATATCTTGTTTTTGATTTTTGATAATTAAAAGGATTGTTATGAAGATAGATGGAAGAAATTTTCTCAGATAATACAAGGAATGATTTGAGAACAACTGATTTGATTTTAGATTTTAAAGTAAAGTTTTCCTCTGTAGGCTGCTAAGAAGTACAGAGCCATATTTAGAACCATTCTCTAGCAAACAGTATAGAACCTTACAGCATGTATTTTCAAAACTACCCTTACTGAGAAGTTCATTAGGAGCTATGCAGTCTGCCATCATGTAGCAACCAGGATAAACATCCTCCTGATAAGTTTTTTTTTTTTTTGGAGACAGGGTCTTGCTATAGAGTTCAGACTGGCCTTGAGCTCGCTTTGTAGCTGAGGCTGGTCTCTAACTCACAAGGATCCTCCTGCCTCAGCCTGCTGAGTGCTGGGATTACAGGCTTGCACCACCACACCCAGCCTGATAAGTTTTTAAACTTATAATTTCGGTTACATGGATATTATTGGAAAATAGTTGAATTTTGGCAACTTTACATCTAAATTTAAGTTGAAAATATTGTTCCTGGTGATAAAAATATGAGTGGACTCAAAAAGCATCATATCTATGATAACTTGTAAGTATTGACAAAAATAAAGTTGTACTTTTGTTTTAACTAAGTGATTAGAACAGTATCTGAGTATAAAAATACAACAATTTGGCTGCCATGTAATAAATAGGTACTGAATAAGGGGGTTTTTGCTTTTGTTTTTTCCTCTTTTAGATCCCTTGTCAATAAAGACCCAAGAGGTCCCTTCAAAAGTTCTTTTCAAAAGGTTATTAAATAAGATTCGTAATCAAAAATCTCTCTGGACAATTAAATCCGTGTCTGAAGATGAAAGTGAAATGATTACGACCGTTAGTGAAACTGAGAGTAAAGCACGAACAATTGAATCTGGAACAATTACCAGTGAGGAAGGAATGCTATCCACGGAGCAGGAACAAGGTGATTCTCTCCAGTAGTCTTGTTCTATAGTGTATAAGCTGTAAGTTGTTGTTTAAAGCCATGCTTATTTTTTGAAAAATTAAAGAACAAATCAAAAGTTTAAAAGCATAGTCCTGTTATTTAGAGGCAACAGGTAATGAAAAACTTAATCTCCTTGTAGATTGCTTTCATTATAGTATTACCTGTTATCTACATATGTAAATTCCAGTGTAATGATGAACCAGAGTTAACCAGTACCCTATTACTGGAATTTTAGGCTGTTTCCTTTGTTCACTTGTTTGTTTGTTGTGGGTATTTCTGGTGAGGTCTTTGCCCACATCCTTATGTCCTTAGGAAGAACTTCGAAGAATCTCTGAATCAAAAGATTAGAACAGCTGGGCATGGTGGTGCATGTTGGCAATAGCACCACTTGGGAGGCTGAGGCAGGAGGATCCTTGTAAGTTTGAGGCCAGCCTGGGCTACAAAGTGAGCTCAAGGCCAGGCTGAACTGCATAGTGAGACTCTGTCTCAAAAAGACAAAAAAAAAGTCTTTAAGAAAAAAAGATTAGAAAATTGTCTCAGTTACTCTTCTCTCATGGCTGAGAGAAAATACCCAACACCCACGATAAAGGAAGGAAAAGTTTATTTAGCTTACAGTTTGTGGAGGTTTCAGTCCATACTTGGCTGGCTCCCAGGCAGAGTGGCACATAGCAGAGGGCAACAGTTCATGGTGGTGGAAAACAGCAAAAGCAACAAGAGCAAAAAAGGGAGGAGTGGCAGCAAGCAACCTCTTTTCCTCCCTTACATTGTATGCAAAACTACCTGCCCCAGGCCAGGTGTAACACTCATACCCATAATCCCAACATTGGGCCATGAATCAATCATAAACTCTAGAAGCCCACTCAGTGACTGCATGAGGCTTTGAGGGGACATCCAGACACAAACCATAGCAGACATATTCACAGTTTATACTAGGTGTATTTTGTGTCTCTTTTACATTCCCGCCCATGATTTTTGTTGTTGTTGTTGTTAATTTCAAAGAATAGCTTTGGTTGTAAGTAGGCTATTAAGTATATTTCTAGAATTTATAAAGATCATATGTACAATATTCCTTCAATTATATTTTAGCAAATGAGAATTATAAAGACAGAACTCTTCTCCGATTTGTTTCGTTTCTTGAAGTTTTATATTTTGGATTCCTTTAAAGATGTGTTTGTAATTGTATGAAAATGTTTTGCCAGCAGACTTTTGAGAGAAGTGATTACAGGAAGCCTTGAAATAGACACTTCACTTGGTCTTTTGATACCGCTCTTAGTCTTACTACCTCATTGGTTCCTTCTTCATGGTTTCCTTTATTGGTTATCCATTTTTCCACAAGCGCTAGCCATTGTCCCCAGAGCGCATTCCTCAAATCTCTTCTTTATATCAAAACTCCGTAGTTGATCTCTAATGTTATACTTTATATCACTGTTTATATACTAATGTCTTCCAAAGTGTGTTTCTAGGATTGCCCTCCCTTTTAAATTCAGCTCATTTACTTAACTATTTATTTGACATCTCCCCTTGTATGTCTGGTAACCTTTTCCCCAACCCATTTTAGTTATTTGAGACAGGGTCTTACTGTGAGAATCTCAAACTTGAGATTCCCATGCCTCAGGCTCTTGAGTGCTGAGATTATAACTCCAGTTTGTACCACCATGCTACGATCTAATAACATCTTAAATTTGTCCAAAACTGAACTCCTGGTATCTCCTCTTACCCTACACCTGCTTTTCTTCCACAGTTTAAAAACTGGGGATATTGTCATTTCTTTCTTCAGGCCAAAAGTCTGTAATGATTTGCTTTCCATTTTTTCATACCTTAAATCTGTCCAGCAGCAAATTGAGTTGGTCCTAACCTCAAAATGTATCTAAAGCCCAACCATTTCTTACTACATATCATCCTGCTTTAAGCCACATTTGTTTTATAACACAGATTCCTTTTTTGTGTGTGGTACAGTATCGAACTCAGGGGTACTCTAATACTGAGCCCAGCCCTTTGTATTTTGTATTTTGAGAGAGGCTCATTAAGTTGCCCAGGCTAGCCTCAATCTTGGAATTGTCTTGTCTGACTCTGATGAAAACGTGGATTTACAGGCATGTGCCACTGTGCTGATTCTGGTATAAATTCTTGTAGTGGTCTCTACCTTCAGCTTTTGTATCTCCTTCCTAGAGTCTGTTCACTAAGTGATCCTGTGAAAACACAGGAAGAAATCCTGTGAAGTCCTCTAGTTTCACTCAGTGAAAACCAAAGTGATTGCAGTGGCATCACAGTTTTGTATACCCTACACACACACACACACACACACACACACACACACACTCACTTCTACCCTTGTCATCTTTCTGACTCCATTTTTTGCCACATTTCCCACTCGAGCCACTGTCCTGCGAGGCTGGGTTCTTTCATTTCTCAAAAAGATCAGGCATATGGTTTGTGTGGGCTTTGTGGGTTCAATCCCCAGTATGGCAAAATTAAAGGGAAAAAAAGGTAACTGGATTTTAACTAAGACATTTAGGTGGACTAAGATTAAATAGTTATTGGAATGCAGATTTTTTGTTATTATGCCTCCTTTAAGCTTGAAGATAGGATTATGTTAACAATGGTATTATCTGTTACAGTTATGGAAAGTGATATACTGACAATTGAGTCTGGACCATTTACTAGTGAAGATGAGCCACTTTCATGTGGAAAGGAACAAGGTGCTTGTTTTTATCATCTTAAGACTCTTTATATCTTTTCCCTAGTAAGATTATATGTAAGCTTACATGTAAAGGCATGATAATGGTGTCAAAATGCTAAATTATTGGGACTAATTTTTGTTTTGGGGATTCTCATAGAAATCAATGAGACTCTACCTGTCACAGCTGTACCTCAGAGTTCAGTTCTACTTCACCCTCAAGAGGAAGCAGTCAGAGTTAGAATGTCAGCAAGGCAGAAACAGGTAATATGAAATTTTATTTTTAAAGGTTACTTTTTTCTCCTAAGTAATGAAATTTTGTTTGGCTTGTGTAATTTGTCTTGCCATCTGGCTATTTTTGATTGTCACGTATCCTACCTTGTCTTACACAGACATTCCCCTGATAAAATGCAATCTGTCTTTGTACTTCTGATTAGATCCTTACTAGCTTTAGAAAATTTTACTTTGGGCAGGAGATGTAGCTTAGTGGTAGATCACTCACTGACCATGTGCAAGGTCCTGAGTTCAATCTTCAGTACTAGCAAAACAAACAAACAAAAAGTCAATTTATCCATATAACTTCAGCTACAATGCCTAGTACGTATTAGACACTGAGATGGGCTTTGTGTTCCCCAAAGACCTTTGAAAAGTAGTTTTTTTATGGGAAAATTTTAGTTTATTTTTTTCTTTTGTCTTTTTAGGGTCTCACTATGCAGTTCAGCCTGGCCTTGAGCTCACTTTTTAGTCCAGGCTGGTCTTGAACTCGCAACGATCCTCCTGCCTCAGCCTCCTGAGTGCTAGGATTACAGGCATGCACCACCATGCCTGGTGAAAATTTTAATTTGAACCTTTTTACCTGTAATTTTGGTTAGCTCTGCTTTTTAAAAATTTATTTTATTTTTTAATTAGTACATGTTTGTAGTACAGAATAATGATGTTTGGGGAAACTAGTGCATATGTATAACATTATCTTGATCCTTTTTTTTTTTTAAGACAGGGTCTTGCTCAGTAGTTCAGGCTGACCCTGAACTCACTATGTAGCCCACGCTGTCCTGGAACTCACAGCAAGAGCAAGCCTCCTGTCTCAGCCCCCGAGAGCTGGGATTAGAGGCATGCACCCACCTTGATCATTTTCAATCCCTTCACCCATTTGCTGTTACACGGGAAGGCATCCTCCTTCCCATGATCTGCTTCCCTGTCTCCAGTAGTCTACCTTCTAGCTTCATACCATTTCTCCTTTATTTTATTATTTATAGCTTAGGTTTCCCATATAAGAAGAAATATCTAACTTTCTGAGTCTTGACTTCTTTCACTTGGTGTCATGGTCTCAATTTCCATTAATGCAAATGACATAATTTTATTCTTTATATATGATTGAATGATATTCCATTGTGTATATACACCACCTTTTCTTTACCCATTTTATCCTTTGATGGGGACCTGGGCTGTTTCCAGGGCTTAGCTATTGTGAATTGCACTGCTATGAGTATGGGTTGAGATATATCTCGATCGTATGATGACTTATACTCTCACGAGTATACTCAAGGAGGTGTATAAATGGGCCAAATGGAATTTCTTTGTTTAGTTTTTTGAGGAATCACTATATTGATTTTCATAATAGTTTTCATACCTTACATTCCCTCCAACAAGGTAAGAGAGTTCCTTTTCCCCACATCTTTGCCAGCAGTCATTGTTTTTTGTGTTCCTGAGGATAGCCATGCTGATCAGGGTTAGATGGAATCTCAACATTGTTTTGATTTACATTTCTGTAATGGCTAATGCTGTTGAACAACTTTTATATGTTCACTTGCCCTTTTTACTTCTTTTGAGAAATGATTGTTCAATTCATGTATGCCTGTAATTGCAGCTACTGGGGAGACTGAGGTAGGCAGCTTGTGGGTTTGAGGCCAGCCTGAGCAATGGAGTGACACCCTGTCTCAAAAGATGGGAAAGGGAAGATAGGGGAGGGGAAGGAAAAAAGGCACCGTAAATAATCTAAATTCAGTGGCTCCTATGACGAAAGTAAGGAAGATGACAGGTGCTCAGCTATGGCACCTATTGCCTGGTAGAGGGTAAGTGTCAAGTCAGGACTTTTTTGACTCTGAAAATAGGATTTTTCTTCATTATCTCTACTAGAAGTACTCTTTATAAAATTACACATGCTTTTTTTTAAAAATTCTGTAAATTTTTATCTGTGTATCAGGACCTGTACTAGGTACTACATTTGGCAGGCAATAAAACTAGCTAACTACTGTATTGCTGGGCATAGTGGCACATGACTAATCCTAGCACTGGGAAGGTTGAGGCAAGAGGATCGCTGAGAGTTTGAGGCCAGCAAGCTACATAGTTCAAGATTAGCCTAAACTACATAGTGAGACCCTGACTCAAAAAGAAGGAAAAAAATAGATAACTATTCTCTTAATGGGTGTCCCTAAGAAATCAGAGGTTTGGGGGCCTCCGTATTTATTTATTTAGTCATTATTCATACTGGGAACAAGGGAAAATTAAAGATATGAACATAGAATTTGGCTGCATACCATTTGCTGCTGCTCTGGGGGTGGTTCTTCAGTGGTACTCAGGATCTCCTAGTGCTTCCACAAGAGAGACATAGTTTATTCCTTCTTTTATTACTGCTGCTTTACCTTTCTCTCCCTTTTCTCTTTTCCTGCTTTGCCATGTCTTACTTCTGGCATTGCCAGTAACATAGATAAACACCCCTTCATAGATAATCCATACTCTTCGTGATTAAGTCTGTTGCTTTTTAGTGTTTTGTAGGAGCTTGTTGTTAATAGAGCAATAGTATTTTTATTATCTAGATAATGGAAATAGAAGAGCAGAAGCAAAAGCAGTTGGAATTACTTGAACAAATTGAACAACAGAAATTAAGACTAGAAACTGACTGCTTCAGGGCTCAGCTGGAAGAAGAAAGAAGAAAAAGAGCTCAACGAACTGCGGTAGGAGACGTGAAATCTTTACATGAATCACTGTGGGACAAGGAAATACGAGTAGTCACAGAATTCAGAAAATAAATTGTCTCTAATTTTTATTTGCTCTTTTAATAATGTATATGTAATAACAAGTTTCTGTCAACCTGATGGTTTTTTTCTTTGAGGGTCCCTAGAGTGCCAATATAAATGTGCTTTCAATAGAAATTTGACTATGATTTTATGTGGTATATAGTGGTACATGTCTGTAATCCCAGCCCTCTTGGAGGCTGAGGCATGAGAATTGCAAGTTTTTGAGCACAGCTCTGATAACTTTATGGTTTAGTGAGAGCCTGTCTTGAATTTTTTCAAAAAAAGGCTGGGGATGTAGCTTAGTGAGAAGGCCCTGAGTTCTGTCCCCAGTAATATAAAAATAAATATGTAAATAAAACTGTATAGAAATTTATAATTCTACAATTCAGGCCATACCAACCTGAACAAACCTGATCTCATCTGATCTCAAAGCCAAGCAGGGTCATATCTGGTTAGTACTTCGATGGGAAAAATTTACAATTCTGGAGGTTAGGTTTACACAAAATACTTTAGTACTTGTTCTGAATTTGCCTTTTAATTAGCAGTTTTGTCTTTTATCAGGTCGGCACTACTTCAGTATCATTCCCTGTATTTTCTGATGAAGATAGTCATAGGCAGATGATTCATAACTACCAACAGCAGCTTTTACAACAAAACAGGTATTGGTTAGGGTATAATTTCCATATGACAGTATATGGCACGTGTTTTGGATTTCTTATTTGGCTTATATGAAGATCTAATTGGATATAGATTTCTAAATTTAGATTTCTAAACACTTGATAGTTGGATCATTTTTTTCATTTGTTGTTATGTTTGTTCTTGGTAGGTTACACAAGCAATCTGTGGAAATAGCCAGGAGACGATTACTTGAATATCAGGTTATGTTAAAAGAAAGGTACCCATCAACATCAGCTACATCATTGATACCTGATTCCATTATAGCAGTACCAACACAGGAATCTGAAAAATCCACTGCTGCATCACAAGATTGGGATCCAAGTCAGAGATTCAAGTTGACTCTTAACAAATATCAACCCATTCATATCTCGAAATTAAAGCAAGACTGTATTCATGTACCAAGACAAAGTCAGTCTCCACAGATAGAAACAAAAGAAACATCAAGCACTTCAGATCTTTTAGCCAAGCAGTCTTTGGAGTCACAAAAACACTTAGGGCCATTCTCTCAGATTGAAACTCAAAAGGGAGACTATAAATTAATCCCTAAAGGTTTACATGTATTTTCAAGTGCTTTGTCACATGATAGGCAGCTGCTGTTACAGGACACTCAAGAAACATCTGAAACATTGAGGCCAACAACTTCTCAAGCTGTAGATGCCTATCAAGTAGTGGCAGAGGACAGTGAAAATGTATCTTTGAAACTTACTGAACCTGCGTTCCTACCACTGGTACCTGAGCATTCTTTTACTATTCTCCCTAGTAAAGTTGAGTCTGAAAAAATTCAAGAACCCTTTTCAGCCATGAATAAAAGTGCAGTTTCTGTAAGCCATGCTGTAGTCAGCCAAATGCGTGGTCGACCTTTTCCATCCTCAGACACTATCATAGCCCAGCAAGATAATTTGAAGGCTCTTCAAGAACAGTTAGAACTACAGAAGGAAGTTCTTCAGGCAAGACGGGAAGCTCAGGAACAATTTCTTTTGTGCAAACAGAAAGAATTAGAAGAGCAGACTGGTCTCTCTATATTCTTCCCAGTGGTTGCTTCAGATTCATTTGTTTCACTGCCTTCTGCCAAAGCTGACTGTGGGAGAATCCAGGAACCTTCTCCAACCAGGAATAGTCCTTCAGTTTTCTCAGGCCATCCTGTGGTTCCACATCTTCAAGGTAGTCTTTTGAGTTTTTCACAGCCTATCTTATCACAACAAAATAAATTTAAATTTCTCCAAGAACCTTTAAAGATTCAAAGAGATAATCAGGCTAGGAGAGAAGCTCAAGAAGTCTTATTTGTACATAAACAGAGTGAAGTGGATGGAAGACTATGTTCTGAACAGGCTGAGCCCTCTTCTCTGCCATATCAGGTAGCTCAGCATACATTTACTTTTCCTGACAGAAAATCTGAGCAAATCCAGGAGCAGCATTTATCCAGCAGTGAAAAAGGGCTTCTTTCAAGTGGGGCTGAAATCCCAAAATCTCAGGATGGGTCATCAGATTTCCTACAGCAGTTTCTACCTCATGGTAATTTGAAGTTGCTCCAAGAAGAGGTGACTCCACAGAGGGATACCCTTCCGGCTAGATGTGATACACAAGTGAAATTGCTTTCCCATGGTCAAAGGGGTGTGGAGGATAATTTGCCTGGGCAAATCAGTTCTTCATCCTTACAAATGGTTATTCAGCATTCAGATACCTCACAAACTTCTGCTAATGTTGAACCCAAAAGATTTCCTCGTTCATCTGAGGAGAATATAATTCCCTTTAGTCATTTGGTGATTCTACCATTTCAAGATAAGTCTCTTAATTTCTCACAGCACAGCCTCCCTCAGCAAGATAATTTGACAGCACTCCAGGAGCAGTCACACATACAGAGGGTAATACTTGATGCTAGACAGGAAAGTCAGGAATTTGTATGTAAACAAAGTGAGTTGGAAAAAAGGATTTCTTCTGAACAGACTGGTACCTCTTCATCTTTACCTCAGGTAGCTGACTCTGAAAGATTCCAGGAGTTTATGTCAGTCACAAGTGATGTTAAGGGTTCCTTTAGGCATTCTAAGAGTACTACATTGCAGGAAAGACTTTCACACCATATACTACCACAGCAAGATAATTTGAAGGAACTCCAAGAGAAAGAGGTCTTGCATCTTAGTCAGAAAACCCCAGAAAATACATCTTCTGAACAAACTGGCTTGTCTTCATTTGAACCTCAAGTAAGACAACTGTTATTTGCATCATTACGTTCTGTTGGCTCTAGTACAAGCCAGGAACCTCAGTCAACAGAAAGTGATAGTAAAATTCCTTCAAGCCGTTTTCAGATCCCAGAATTGCAGGATAGGCTTTTAAAGATGTCACAACTTATTCAGCCTCAGCAAGATAATTTGAAGGCACTGCAAGAAAAGCTAGCTACACAGAGGGAGGCCATCATTCAATCTAGACAGGAAGCTGAGGAAAAAATACTTCTACTTAAGCAGAATGGGTGGAAGGGGAGAAAATCTGAGCAGGCTAGTATTTCCTCACCCTTAGGAGCACAACATTCATTTGCTTCATTAGCTCCTACTGAATCTGACCAAACCCAAGAACTTTGGCCTGCAGATAGTGATAACACAATTTCAGGTCATTGTGAAATACAGAGATTGCCTGACAGGCTGTTGAATTTATCACATCCTGTTTTACTTCAACAAAATAATCTGATTGCACTTCAAGAGCACATGCATACACAGACAAATTCCTTTCCTTCTACTGAGAAAACCCAGAAAGAATTAATATTGCCCAGACAATACAAATGTGAGGAAAAGATACCTTCTGAGCATTTTATCCAATCTCACCATGGTGATTTGAAGGCACTTCAGCAGCAGTTAGATACACAGAGGAAAGCCATTCGATATGGACAGAAAGTCCAAGAAGAACTGCTTTTGCAAAGGTTGAATCAGTTGGAACAAAGGGTGTCATCTGAGCAGATTAGCTCCTCTTCGCTTCCATCCCAAATTGCATTGCCTGCTGCCTATTCTGAAACAGTTGGGAAGATTTTCCTAACCAAAGGTGATGATGGTGAGACCCAGGCATCACAGACAGCACAGTTGGAATTAGATGGGGAAATGGTGCATTCTACAGAGAAATGTCAAGAAGAACTGCTTTTAAACAAGCAAAGTAAGTTGGGTGAAAGTGAATCTGCTGAGTATGCCATTTCCTCTTTGTTTCTGTCCAAGGAAGCAGAGCATTCATTCATTCCACTACCTTTTGCAGAAGCTAAACCTCAAAGCATTTGTGAATTGTATTTATCTGAGAATGAACATGCTGCTACCTCTAGTGATTCTGTGATCCCAAGATTTCAGGATAGACTGTTGAGCTGCTCACAGCCTGTTTTAGTTCAGCAAGATAATGCAGGTCTTTGCGAACAGTTGGATCTACAAAGGGAATTCCTACAATACAGCCAAAAAGCCCAGGCAGAATTGCTCGTACAGAGAAGAACAGCACTACAGCAGCACACGCAAAAACATCAAGAGACATTGAAGGGTTTCATTACAGACAGCCAGGTATATTTTCACCTTAAATATATAAGGATTAAACAATGGTGGTTTAAGCCTGACTCAGTTTTAATCCTAAGACTAAAGTTTGTACTTACTGAGAGTTAAGTGGTTTGATTTTAAATGTGCTTTTAATTTTCTGCCTTAAAAAATGTGAAAATTAAAACAGTTGTGCTGATCATGGTGACACCAGCCTGTAATCACAGCTACTTGGGAGGCTAACGTACTAGGACCACAAGTTCAAGGTCAGCCTGAACAGCTTAATGAAACGCTGTCTCAAAAAACAAGGCTTACTGGGCTTGGTGACACACACCTGTAATCCCAGCATTTGGGAGGCTGAAGCAGGAGGATAGTTGCAAGTTCGAGCCCGGCTAGGCTACATAGTGAGTTGACGGCCAGCCTGAAGTACAGAGCAAGACCCTGTCTCAAAAACCAAACAAACAGGACTGGGGATGTGTATGGCTCAGTGGTACAGTATCCGTGTGTGCAGCCCCCACTAACTTTTTTAAATAACTGCTCTACCTGATGTGTTCAGTATGGCACTGATATATTTGAAACCCAACTAATTTTAAGTGTAAATACCAGAAAAGAAAATAGATTTTCCTTTGAAGTCCTCTTATAATAGGCTTTAAGTTTATCATACATTAAAATTGTAAAAACTAGTCTGGCTGGGTGCGGTAGTAGACCCCTATAGTCCCAGTTTTGGGGAGGATGAGGTGGAAGGATCATGAGTTGGAGACCAGCCTGGACTACATAGTAAGACCGTGTGTCAAAAACAAAAAATAACTGGTTAAAGAGAATTTTCCTTATACAGTAGCAGATCTTGTGCTGTTTATTGACATTTTTATATGAATTGGGGTAGTACCATCTTTTTCCTTAAGTGACATTATTACTGTTGTAAAGCTAGCATGATTTTAGGCTGATGAAGAGCTGAACTTCAGCTGAATTATTCAACTGATTCTTTTCTCCTTTTATCTCCTATAGCTTGTTAGTCAAAGAATATTACTTTTAATTGTAATATTTCATTGTAATTTTCATTCAGAGCAAGACCCAGAATTGTTCAAAAGACTGGTACAGTCATTCACAGTCTTAGTTTCTGCACATGCAAGACAAGAGTGTTCTAAATATGCATGGATCCATTTTATTTTAAAAGGTTGCTAAACTTATTTAATGTAAACAGAGTTCTGCAAATCCTTGGTGTTCAAAAGAAGCTTCAATTGAGTCCAGTCAAAGTCAAGTCATAGGGATTTTCTGGTCATTTGAAGGAAAAGTAATAGAAAAGAAAAATCTCTTACTGAAAGATAGAGGTGAAGTCTGTTTTTAGGTCTAGGTTGTACTTTTTCATGTAAGTGTCACCCGTTCAGTGTTGAGAGCATATCATTTTTTTCATAAACTATGATAGTGTCAGTGATACAACTGTTCAAGGTTCCAGTTATATACATAATCCCCCAATTTGTGTCATCCCCACCCTTAATTGTCTACTTTTGCAGGCAAGCAAGCTTACAGTTCAAAATGATTTTTTTAAAATGCAGACAGTGGAACAGCTGAGAGAGTGGCCTCCTCATGTGGAAGACCTAGCAAGAGGAGATCCAGGAAGTATCTGTCATGCAGATAAGAGTAATTCTGATGATCATCAGCTGCTTTTAGAAGATGTCAGTTCCAAGCAGAGCAGTAAGATAATTGCAGTTTATTGTAATTATTCAACTGATTCTTTTCTCCTTTTATCTCCTATAGCTTGTTAGTCAAAGAATATTACTTTTAACTGTAATATTTCATTGTAATTTTCATTCAGTTTTACTGTTGTTCTTGACTTGGTAGGTGAGCCTCTGCACAAAGAACCAGGTAGAAGAGCCTCAAAGCCACCTGTGGCAAAAGTTAAATGTGGATTGGATTTAATTCAACATGAACTTAGTGCTATACAAGAAGTAGAATCACCGGCAAGTGGCAGAACTTCTGTACCAGGTAAGCAATTTGATACAATAAAAGGTATTTTATTAGTTTGCCAATTTTCTATATATTTTCAGGATGCTGAGATTTGTCAGACTTAGTATTTGAGTACTTGTGAAAGGAAAAAATTAGCAAAGTTTAAACATATAACATATAACAAAGTTTAAAATTGGAGCTTCCAAGGTGGTGGTGCACTCCTGTAATCCCAGCACTCACGAGGCTGAGGCAGAAAGATCACGGCAAGTTTGAGGCCAGCCTGGGCTACATAGTGAGTTCAAGGCCACGTTGGACTACATAGAGACCCTATCTCAAGGGAAAAAAAAAAGTTATTTTATAGCTATGTATACATCAGGACTTCATAGCAGTTTAGTTTTTCTGTAATGTAAATTGCCATTTTAGTTTTAGTTAGACCTAAAAACTTAAGTGGAAATCTAATGAGTCAGTGTATATGCTTTTCTTTTCAGGTAAACCAGAGTTTTCTCAAGACAGAGACCCCCTGAGAGTCTCAGTAAGCCGAGAACAGAGTTTCCTGGGGAGCCCACAGCCCAGTGATCCATTTGGTGGTCTTCTGCCTACTCCTCAGGAGCAAGCCTGTGGTGATGACTATGATGATGAAGCAGGTAAGACGGTGGAAGCGTGTACACAAGGATATGTGGACCAAAGGATGTTCATTTGTAAGATTATAATACTGGTGAATAACCCCAGTAGCTATTGGTAATCAAGTCACAAGTCATACCTATATTCTGTTGTTGTATGCTGTTATAAAAAGGAACAGGGGCAAGGCTGGGCATGATGGCACATGCCTGTTGCAGTGTGAACAGTTTGAGAGGCTGAGGCAGGAAGATTGCAGTTTCAAGGCCAGCCTGGGCAACTTAGACTCTGTATCAAGAAAAAAAAAGGGGCTGGGGATAGAGCTCAGCATTCCTTGCACTCAGTTCCAAGTACTGCCAAAAAAAAAAAAAAAAAAGTAATAAAGGCAAGGGCCGGGGGTATAGCCCAGTGGTGAAGTATGTTCTTAGATGTTAATTAAAAATAAATTGCCATGTTAAAAAAAAAAGCAAAAGTAATGAGGGAGAAAAAAGAATCTGCTTAGGCAATAGCATAGAAAATTATCTAACATGATAATCATTAAAATGTTGGTATAGCTTTACCTTTATGGGAGACTAGGTTTCACTTTCTATATGTTCATGTATTATAGAATTTTTTTTAAAAAATAGGCATATATTGTTCTGTGCAGAAAAAGTTGAATGAGGGAAGTGAGGTTTATGAAAGTGAATTTTGCTCTTAAAGTCTTTCATTAAGTACTAGTAGGAAGTATTAGGGTAAAGTTTTGTACAATGGCCAGCTCTACAAATTTTGTTACAAATCTTTTTGTAGCAAGCTGTATTTTAAACGGTACTAAGAAGTATCTTAAAAATCATCTGTGATATTCTAAGTCATGATCATACTGGTGTTCTGTGCAGTTGTGCTTGTTTAGTGGGAGAACACCGGGGCCTGGCTGCTAGGGCCAGCTCAACCCCTGGCTGTCTCTTTCTCATAGCCATCCCTAGATTTAGAGTACTTCTCTTTTGAAATGACCTTGGTCTTTTACTTGTCCATTTCTTTCCTGTCACACTTCAACACTTTAATTTCTTAATAGCTTTTAAGGTAGAATAAGCTTTTAAGGTAGAATACTAACTTCCAACTCTGTACCCTTTGCTTTTGTTAGAAAGCCCGGTATGGTGAATTGTGCATATCATGGGAAGATAACTGTTTAAGATGTTGCTTTCACTCTTTTTAGGGATGTGTTCATGGATCCCTGCTCTCAGTTTATTATATCTCAACTGGTGACACTTCTCTTACATCTTTCACTGAGTTTTTCAACATCTCAAATAATTCTGACCTTGCTTCCTCTTCTATTTTTCTTTTTTTTTTGTTTTTTTTTCTGGTACCGGGAATCGAACTCACGACCTTGCACTTGCCAGGCAGGTGCTGTGCCGCTGATCTAAATCCGCAGCCCCCCTCTTCAGTTTTTCATTTCTTACCACTACACAGATGCTACCTTGTTCATTCATCTTTCCCCTGGGTGGTCTTGAAGGTATGTTATACATAACAGTGAATAATTGTGATTGATTGAATTGAGAAAGCCCAGATAACTTCTCATCTCCCAGTTTGCTTTTGAAATGAGCTACTTAAGACATGAAAAAAAAATTCACAATAAAATTTTACTATCTCACATTTTCTTTGAAATTTAGTATGTAGAGAAGCAACCAAACGACACTTAATAGTTAAATCATTTAGGACAATAATATATTTTTAAATGAACCATAATAAGAGAAGAGTAAGAAACTATGTTTAAAGGCAAATAAGTGGGAAGCTGAGGTAGGAGGATTGCAAGGTTAAGGCCAATCTGGCAACTTAGCTTCGACCCTGCCTGAAAAATAAAATGAAAAAGGGATAGAGATGTACTCATTAGTAGAGTATTTGCCCAGTATGCCCAAAGCACTGACCTTTGTTACTAGTTTTGCTTTTGCTTTAAGTATGATACAAATATTGTTTATATTTCTCTGTATATACATATACTAATAGGCATGTATGGATTATATGTGTACATGTATTTGTGGACTGGAGTTCCATTTTTAAAGTAGTTCTTAAACAGACATTTAAGAAACATACCGTTGATGTACATAAACTGATTTCCTTTAATAATATGGTAGTCATGAGTCAGAAATTAGGTTTGTAGTCATTGGAACGATTTTACTATCTTGTTTTAGAACCACAGGTGACTGTATGCCTTGGCCAGCTTTCCCATAAATTCAGAATGCCTGAATATTTTTAGTAGGACAGGTTGGGCATGGTGTAGCACACCTTTAATCCTAGAACTCGGGATGGCTGGGCCTGGAGGATCAAAATTCAAGCCTAGCCTGCGCGACTTGGCAAGACTCTCAAAAACTGGGCTTAGGATGTGCACTTGTAGATTGGCATAAAGGGCCTGAGTTCAGTCTCCAATAATCTCTGGAACTTAGGGGATGGAAGGCTTAAGAAAAAGCCCTGTTGAAGCCGGGCATGGTGGCGCACACCTGTAATTCAGCACACAGGAGGCTGAGACAGCGAGATCGCCATGAGGCCAGCCTGGACCACATATGAGTTGAAGGCCAGCCTGAACTACATAGTGAAACCCTGTCTCAAAAAAAAAAAAAACAAACCTGGTTGCACAGGAAATAAATACCAAGAATCTACAAATGGGATGATATTAAGTTAAAGTGCAGAGGGCTGGGGATATAGCTTAGCAGCACAAGTACCTGCCTGGCAAGTGCAAGGTTCTGAGTTCAAAGCCTGGTACCAAAAAAAAAAAAAAAAGAGCTTCTGTACAACAAAAGAAACAATGAACAGAAAAGACAACTTACAGAATGGGCAAAAAAATTTTGCCAGCTATTCCTCAGAGGACTAGTATCTAGAATATATAAAAAACTAAAAAAAATTAGATGCATCCAAAATGAAGACCCAATCAAAAATGGGCAAGTGAAGTGAATAGACACTTCACAAAAGAAATATAAATAGCCAGTAAATACATGAAGAAGTGTTCAGCATCGCTGGCCATTAGAAAAATGCAATCAAAACAACACTGAGATTCCATTTTACCCCAGAAAGAATGGCAGTAATCAAGAAATCAAACAATGACAAATGCTGGCAAGGCTGCAGGAGTGGGGAGTTTATATTCTATTGGTGGGAATGTGAACTAGTACAACCACAACATAAATCAGTTAAGGAGATTCTGCAAAAAACTGAAAGTGGAAATTCCATTTGACCAAACTATTCCCCTTCTAGGTATCTTCCCAAGAGTTAAAGACATCATATTACAGGGACATATGCATTTCCCTATTTATTGCAGCACAATTCACAATAGCTAAGTCTTGGAAGTAGCCTGTATGTCCATCAACAGATGAATGGGTAAAGAAAGTGTATTTGTACACAGTGGAGTATTACTGTGCCATGAAGAAAGTAAAATTGAGTTATTTGTAGGAAAATGGATTTGTAGGAAAATGGCTGCACCATAATGTTGAGTGAAATAAATCAGACAAACACGCTTAAATATCACATAATTTCTTTTACATGAGAAACCCAAATTATAGACAGTAAAATAGAAGATAGATAATTGGAAGTCAGGCAATAGATATTTCCCAAAATGGGAAGGAGCTCAAGAGATGGAGTGGGAGGCACTGAGGAAAGGGAATGAAAAAAAGAGTTAAGATGTGTGCACATACCAGCCCCACACAGGAATGAAGTACTATGTACTACAAACATGTACTGTATTAATAAAAAGTAGTGAGATAGGAAGTATGTATATAATTTTATATATGTTTAATATGAGAATAATTAGAAATAATAATGTATTATTAAGCAAAATATGCTTATTTTAACAGAAAGCACTTAAAGGTAGAAAGAAGTAAAAATTGGGACTGGGTGTGTAGCTCAGTGATACAGTCTTTAGGGTGTACAAAGCCCTGGGTTCAAGCTCCAACACCAAAAATTTAAAATTGAGTCAGAGTTTGGTGGCTCGGGCCTATAGGCCCAGCAACTCCAGACAACGACACAGGATTGCTTGTAGCCAGGAATTTCAGGACCACTCTAGGCAACAGAGAGATCTCCATTTGAGAAAAGAAAAAGAAATAATTTGCTCCTTGTCCTATTACTCATTAGCAATCACTGTTTATACCTTGGTGTTCTTCATTGTCTCTTTTATATGAATTTTATCCTCTTACAGATCATACTATATTCATGATTGAATATTCTTGCTTTACCACATAAAAGGACAAAACATTTCCCATAATGTTCAGATATTTTAAAGGGTCTTATTCATGTGATAACAATGACAACTACAGTTTTAAAAAAAAGTAGTGAGTGTTGCCCAGGGTTTTAAATGAAAAAGGAAATGATTTTTCCCCCTTTGGCCTAAGATAAGGCAACTTTAAGAACTGAAACAGGAAAGCAGGGATTGTATGTCTTCTGATGCTAATGTTTAATTTGACCTAATCCAAAATATTTTGCCCTTTTGAACTCCAAATTCATTTTTTAGTCAAGGTCAAGGAATCTGATGTTGAAAATCATGCCGTGTTAAGTTATGCTGCTGAGGAAGCGGAGCACACATGTCTGGGTCAGGCTGTGAGGCCAGATGATAAGGTTGGTGATATCTTCTCACTTACTGTTTTCAGTTTTTTTGAGACAGAGTCTCGCTGTGTTGTTCAGGCTAGCCTTGAGTTCACTATGTATCCCAGGCTGGCCTCGAACTCCTGGCGATTCTTCTGCCTCAGCCTCCTGAGTGCTGAGATTACAGGTGTGCACATTACAATATCCTGAAAGCAGTACCTGCCGTGATGCACTGAACTCTCTGGTTTCATATTCTCTTCAGTTTACTGAAAAACTATGTTCTCTGAGGTCTGCTCTTATTGAAGCAGATCAATGATGAAAATAGCCAAATCTGAGCATCAGAAGACCTTCCAGGCTCCCTGATGCATGATCTTTATAGTTCTGAGAAGCAGATTTGTAGAATAATTTAAAACAGAAAGGGCTCTGTGTGTGTGTGTGTGTGTGTGTGTGTGTGTGTGTGTGTGAGTGAGTGTATGTAAGGTTCATTATTTCTGAGCAATGATGAAAACATTTTACTACTGACCTGTGTAACTATGAAGGTTTCTACACTTGACCTGAGCTCAGAGTTGACAGCTGCTAAGGTTAGTGATTTTGAGTTTTCTAGATACTGTACTACCTGACACATCATGATCTAATATTTCCCTTTAATTTTTAGGCTGAAACACAAGATATTTCTCATGAGCCTTTATCTCCAATAACTGTTTCTACTGGCAGTTTTTTAAGTTATGATAATACAGATTTGAGCCTTATGGATCCAGGTAATAATATCAAAATGTGAAGAGATTGAAGGTCCAATACCAGTCGAGTTACAGTATGGTGGTGGGAGGAAGCATTGTTTTTTTACAACACATAGGAGAAGGGAAGAGTTTCTTTAAATCTAGAAAATAAAGTATCAGTGTCTAAGAGACTGTTGGGCAGTATGGTATACTAAAAGACTGGAAGTCACATAGTACTCTGTAGATCCCTAAAAATTTGAGAAATATTACTAATGTCCCTTTTTCCCATTCAGTGGAATTCTATCTTAGGAAATCTCTTGGTTGCACTGATCTGTTAGCAATAGGTATTGTCATACTTCTCTACTAAATTATGTTTCTAAAGAAGCACCCAGCCAGGCATGGTGGCACATGCCTTTAATCCCAGGACGTGGGAGGCTGGGCTGTAGGGTGAGTTCAAGGCCAGTCTGAACCGCATAGCGAGCCCATGTCTCAAAACACAAAAAAAAAAGCCATCAAAAATAATACAGTATTAATGTCAGTTAAAAATTTTCATGAAACTCAAATTTCAGAGCTATTTTCAGAGTACATGAGTCATTCAGAACAAGAACCTATCCACCAGTAAAGAAGAAGAAAAAGATACTTTAAGTTCTATAATTCCTTCAACACAAGTTATTTATCAGCAGCAGAACTCTTCAGGTGTTCATAAATCTCCATTGCCTGCAGTAGAAGAATTTATGCCTCAGCACACACATTGTCAGCAAATCATAGACAAACACACAAAGCAACTTGGATAGATGAGAAAACAGACTTTCAGAGTAAAATTACTTTAAAAATACCTATATATATAGTATGCCAAAAACAGTAGACATTGGAAAAGAAAAATGTGTAAATATTTTAATACTAAGTTTATTAATATATCATGAAATTAATACAAGTTACCTCTGGCCTATACAATTACAAGAGGCGCTCGAAGTGATGGCCATTAAGCTTTCGGATGTTAATTAGTACAGGGAACTGCTGAAGTGTGTATACATATTTTTTGGCAGACTATATATGTATATATATGTATATATATGTGTGTGTATATATATATGTATATGTATATCAGTGAGTTCTTTTAACTTTTCACCTTTTATCCTTTTTAATTTTTAGTAAATGTTATTTAAACTTCATGTTCTTATGGCCTGCTGCAGCATCCTTAGACCATAGGAAATATTGATGATTAGTGGAAGAGGGGATGTGAACCCAATTTGACCAATGGAAGAACATGTAGAGGACATTAATGACTAAGTCTTCGTTTATCTTCTCAAAGTTAGCTCCTACAGCTGAGTCTGGGTAAAGTTCAGATATCAGAAAGATCTCTCTGTGAAACCATGGGCAAGTTCACTTTTTCATCTTTCATAGATAGAAAGATGTTGGAGAATAAATGAGATATGCACAGAAGTACAGTGTCCTGCCCATGGTAACCGAGAGTACCGTGACCCTCTCCTCTTTTAACCAGTGCTCCTGAAATGAGCTAAGTGAGGACAGCAAAGCTTACAGCAGTGATGCCCAACCTCTTAGAGCTTTTGTTGCTGACAAACAACCCACTGTGGCACATGTGCCAGAAGGTTTGCATCCACTTGCTTATAGCAAGACGGTGGTCTTATGGGCCTGTTACTCCTAATTAACCTGAGAAGGCTTTGGGCACTGAGACGATCTGGGGTTTGCTTGGGTTGGGCTTAGTTTTTTACCTTGGAAGTAATCATGATGGAATTTAATTTGAAAGCATTTGCTGGTCATGGAAAAAACAATTTTTTTGCATGAGAGTTATCAAAAGTTTTTAATGAGTATGTTCTTTTTAGTACTTTTTAGGCTTTACTTTAAATCTTAAAAATTCTTTTTTTTCTCCTCACAATTCCAACAGTTGACTTTGACTTTCCAGAACTAGAACACATTTTTCCAAATTTGCATCGTCAGCTCTTCAAACCATTAGAACCACATCCAGATTTTGATTTATCATCATCATCGTCTGGGGTTTCTCAAGACAACAGAGATTTTTACCAGGTATATTAAACTAGATGGTAGGAGGTAGGGACTAGGGATTTAGCTCAGCGGCACAGCGCCTGCCTGGCAAGCATGAGGTCATGAGATCGATTCCTGGTACCGGAAGAAAAACAAAAAAACCAACCATTTACCATTTCTGGTAAAGTCCCAGTATTCTTAAAACCCCATCACACCACTGATGTCTGTAAACACTCCACTAATAGCTTGTAAACATTTTCATTAGGGGCTGGGGATTTAGCTCAGTGGCACAGTGCCTGCCTGGCAAGCACAAGGTTGTGAGTTCGATTCCCGGTACTGGAAAACAAACAAACAAAACCCATAAACTAGATGCTCCATTGTAGTGAATATCAAAGCAGTTTGAATTCTTTTCTTTTGTAGAACAAAGGTTGTTAACCTTAGCAGGCTATTAGAATCCCATGGAAAACTTTTTTAAAATCCACTGCTCAGATTCTACCCAGACCAGTTAAATGAATTGCTGAGAGGACTCAGATAGTATGATTTTTTTTTTTTTAAGCTACCCAAGTGATTCCAAGGTGGAACCTAGATGAAAAGCAGCTACATTAGAGGTTTGTCCTATCCAGCCTTAACTATTGCTGGTGGGTATATTGACTAATAGGAAGAATTGGGTTTTTCAAAAAGCAAGTTTATTACCATGATAAAATGGTAATCAAGGAAGAGCATTTCAAAGGAACATAGTGATGACTGATTCAGCTAATAATACATAATCAGTTTTTCAACTGTTCTGTATTGTTTTCTGTCAGAGCTCAGATTGTTCATCTGAAACACCCTATGCTGATGTATCATCCAGAAGTACAGTTTCTTTCACAGCACTGAGAAGGACCAGCTTGCATTCTTTTAATATAAGCCTGACCCAGCAACCAGACCCTAATGTGGCTAATGCTATTGCTCAGAGTTTTGCTACAGAAACTGTTGAAGGTAGGCTAAGAAAAAGTTAAGTAAAACCCAGTATTTTTTCATTTTCTTTTTTTTTTTTAACATTTCCTTGGACATTGTGTGTAGCGCTTGTTGGTGTGTCTCTGTGAGTCTTCAATGTTAACTATGTTTGGTTTCCTTTTTTTTTTTCTTCTATTTGGTTTCGTTTGGTTTTTGAGATAGGATCCTTCTACATAGTTCAGCCTTGAACTCACTACGTAGCCCAGGCTGCCTCAAGGTTTTGGCAGTCTTTCCTTAACTTCCTGCGAGCTGGGATTACAGGCCTGTGCCACCATGCCTGGTTCTTCAGTTTACATTTTTATACTATTGAACTTTGTAAGATCAATAAGCAAGAGTTACCTCTTTTCTGTCAATTTCCTTACTCGTATAATTCTATCCTTCTACGAGAACTTTTTGTAGAGTTTTTATATGTGTCATAATATGTGTTTATATACATGTGTGCATATTTTAAGTATTTCTGTTATTAAAATCACAGTTCAATAAAATATATTAAAAAGGGAAAACTGAGGTTCTGTATACTACCTTCTATAATCAAATTACTAAACAGAAATATTATTATTTGTATCGCTTAGCAATCTGGAAAGATATAATCTATAAACTGTGATATATTTCTTCTTGTGTACAAATTTCATGAATAATTAATAACTTACTATTTTTCTAAAAATATTAGTTTATGGATTTAACTACCCTGTTCCTCAATTCTCAATGCTTTTTAAAATCCAGCATTATAAAAACTGTTTATTCTTTTCTTCTCATTGATGCTGGGTGTTAAACTTAGGACATTACAAATGTTCCACTACTGAGCCATATCTCTAGCCTTAAAAACTTTAAAACATGTCATTAAAAAACATGCTATCTTAAAATATTCATACTATCCAAAATGACACAAAAGTGAAAATAGTCAAACTTACAGAATCAAATTAGAAGGTTAGTTAGTAGTTAGTAATGGGTATAAGGTATCAATTATACAAGAAAAATACATCTTAGAGATCTACCTAATATAGATACAGCACTGTCCCTAAATTAACAATACTGTATTGTACACTTAAAAATGTTAGGAATGATAAGATTAAGTTAAAAATTTTAAAAATCAATTTTCCGTCCTTTCATAAGGGAGGAGTCCTCATAATGTCTAATAGCCTTGTCCTTCACAATATCAAAACAGGAGATAATACATAATGTGAGCTGTAATTATTTGAAAATGATTGTTAACTTCCTATTCCTGTTTATATACATCAACTGGCATTTCTAAAATTATAACCTGCCTTTATGTGCAGTTACTGAACCTATGAGAGACTAGTAATAACCAACTTTATTTATAATATAAGATTGATTTTTAACAATTTCTTAATGCAGGATCTGAACAGTCTTTTCAACAACTTCTGCCAGAATTTCCATCACAGGAGGGGAATCAGCATGCTGATCTACCAAGTATTTTTAGCATTGAAGCAAGAGATGCTTTTCAAGGCATGAAAAATGAGAACCATCCATCAGAACAGACTGACATACTACAAAATAAGAAAAAAAGTGTTCATTTCCAGCTATCTGTAGGAAACTTCAGTTCAGCCTGTAGTTCATCTGATGAAACAAATACATATGAACAGTTGCATGTGCAGCATAGCACTCCATGTGGCTCTACCTCTAGTGAGTCCTTGATAAAACACCAACTACCGGTAGAAAGCAAAGAAGAAAGGTTGAGCTTTGAAGACCTATCAGAAAGAGAGACTGTTACAATGTTACAAAGTCAAGGACTCTCTGAAGATGATAAAAATGAAACCTGTAGGGTTTTAGCTATAAATCCACATGTAGAAGAAACTGACTCTGAATTATGTGTAAGAACAGTTGAAATGGGAACTTCAGATCAGACACCACAGTCATTAAGTACCCAAAATGAAAAATATTTTGAGAAGTCAGTTGAACCTCCAGAAATCATAAAAAACCTATCTCAGCCAGCACTGGCTGAGCCCTTTCTAAGTTGTGGATCATTTTCATTACGGAACTCTATTCCATTCTGGGTAAGATCTGTGTTGTATAAACAGTATTTTAAGTTCCTTTTTAGGAGAAACTTCTAAAACAAAATGTAAGAGAAACAACAAAGTTGCTGAATGTTCCTAAAATAAAATGAGAAAACTCCAAATTTTGAAAACTCTCCTCTAAGAATTTTATAGATCTTCCCTATCCAGATAATCCTTTTCTACCTTCCCTAAGGAATGGTTAATCAGCCTGTGTTGAATCTTACTGCACTGAATCCTTTGTTAGAATAACTGTTACTGTCTTCTTGTTAAGCAAGTTTATAACCTGCATGGTTCAGCTGGGCATAGTTTTCAATTTTTTGCGTGCACAGCTCATCCTTTCAGATAAGACAATGGAGATTTAAAATAAGGACTCCATCTAGATCATAGATGTTCTTTGGCTGCTTGTGTTGCATCTCTGTTTTTAAATTATTGTTCAGTGTGTGAAACTAAATACTTCATCCCAGCCAACCTGCCTAGCTGTGTGAGCATTCAGATTTGTGATCCTTGCAATATTTTAAGATAATTACCATATTTTTTCCAGTCTTCTCTGTTTCTCCTAGTAATGAGTGGTGCCTAAAGGGGAATCAAGTCTGTTGATCTTGTACAATTTACATTATTTTTTATACTTAGGTCCACTTGCACTAAATACACATAATGTACAAAATACACATTTATGGGGTTTTTCTTTTACATTTTGAATGTTTTAAGGCTTTAAAAAAAAAATGTTTTCTTTTCAATTGTACTACACAGGAGACAGAATCTGGCCATGGTATAATGGAAGAACCAGAACTTACTTTGGTAAGCACCAGTGATATCAGTATTGCTGAAACAGATTTTGCAAACTTAACCCTTGAAGAAAAGACAGAGAATGAAACACAAAGCGGTTTTCAGGTAAGTTTTATAGCATTCACTATTGTGAATACTGACACAGGAACGTGTAACTGAAGATTGTGTGGGAACAGAAAAGGATATTCATCACTTCATGTGGCATCTTCCCTCACCTTAGAATTACCTGCAGATTGCCTTTCCTCTGTTATATGTAAATGCAATAAGCTGTATGCTCACAGCAGAAATTGACAGTGAATAGGAAAAGCTTTCTAAATCTGAATGTACCAGTTTGCACCATGTACTGTGTAGTTCTAACTAATGTGTATTTGTGAAGATACGGCTATTGAGACTTAAGTGGAATTCATGCCTCCCCTATCCCATAACACTTTGTCCTCCTAACAGGTAAGACCAGGCCTGAGGCAAAAAATAGAAAACTGTTGTCACTTTCCAAGTTTATTTTGAACTCAGTCAAAAGTTCTAAAGAAAAAAAATTCCCTGGCTACTAATCAGTCACCTACCTGATAATTTCAAGTCTCAGGTCATCCTTGGAGGGAACTATGCTGTTAATTTTCATTTAGTTGGAACTGTAGGTTAGTAGATGCCTTTTGACACCCTCCCATAGCTGGTTTTTTTTTTTTCTTAAACACTTGGAGCCTTTACACAGAGCTAAATCTCAGGCTTTACTTTTTGAGACAGGGTCTTGCTAAATTGCCCAGGGGGAACCTAAATTTGCAATCCTCCTGCCTGAGCTCAATTGCTGGGATTACAGGTGTGTACCATCCCCGCCCTCACCCCTACCCCCACCCCCGTTTCATGCCTTTTAGTGTGGTGGAACAGTGCCCTGATATCAAGGAAGGGCATTTCTTTTTTTTTTTGGTTTTTCTCCGGTACCAGGAACCGAACTCACGACCTTGTGCTTGCCAGGCAGGCGCTTTTGCCGCTGAGCTAAATCCCCAGCC